CATCCACATGCTTTTGCTCAACTGGTGGTGAGAGCAATTCTGGTGCTATTTTCCCAGCATGTTCTTTTTTCCTGGAATGTAAGAAAATAAGGTTGTTAAGCTAGAGGATAAATAAAGGAAATGGGAGGGGCAAAAATAGAGACAAATGTTTAATTAATGTATCATTCCCCTCCTGGCAGTTTGACCTTCCATGTCTGTGGGAGAAAGAGGTGGTGTAATCATATGCCTACTTCCTGCTGACCTGGGCTGTTGGGGATTTTATTATGGAAGGATTGATTGTATGGTAATACAACAGCCCTTCATTGCTGCATCATATATCCCACTGGCAGATATGACCTTTCATTTTTATGGAAGTCCCTTTCTCAAAATGATGACATTTACAAATTTTTTGAAGCATTTGGATCACTAGTAGACATTTGTCTGATAGTGAGCAAATCTATGCAAAATAGTTAGGATCCAGTCCTGACTGAAGAGGCCCAGAGACTAATATTAAAAAGTTATGGAGACATAATTTGCCTCTACTTTCATCCCTCTAGTTTATCCAATCATAAACTAAATGTAATTTCAGATCTTTTTTATCTATTTGCATAATCTCATAGGGCAGAATAACCAGGTGGAATATGGTTGGCTTTGTTGAACTCTCCATAAGTGTGCAATACTTAGCCAGTCAGACAGTCTTCAGAATCAAGGCCACTGTCTCACCAGGCTTCCCATGAGACTTCCTCTTCTTCAGGATTCCAGGGCTTTACACCAGGGTTATTCAAGCCTACCTATGGAGGCAAGCTTCACCATCAGAACTTGGAGGTTTCTAGAACCCTCTGCACAATAGTCCTGCACCATATACCACTGGGACCCCTGACCTTTCTATTCCCACCAAAACCCTCTCTCCTCAGTTGTATTTTTCACAGAAATTTTTTTAATCCTAAAATTTGTATGGAACAAAAAATACTCAAGCATCTTTAGAAAAATGACTGACATCACACATTCAGAATTCAAACTATATTATAGAGTTATATTAGTCAAAACAGTATAATATTAGCATAAAAACAGACACATCAATCACTGGGACAGAATTAGAACCCAGAAATAAACTCACCCAATTATAATTGACTAATTTATGACAAAAATTACCAAAGATATTCAAAGAGGAAAGGATAGTTTCTTCAATAAATATTATTAGGAAAACTGAGCACCACCTTCAAAAGAGTGAGCTGTGCCACTAATTGACATTACACAAAAATCAATTTAAAATGGGTTAAGGATGCCATAAGATCTGAAACCATAAAACTTCTGCAGAATAATAAGAGGTAAGCTTTTAACTACTGGTCTTAACAATAATTTTTTATTTGCTTTCTATAGCAAAGACAAAAAAAGCATAAACAAACAAATGGGACAACAAATTTAAAAGCCTCTGAAGAGCAAAAGAAAACATCATCAAATTGAGAAGGCAATCTATACAGTTAGATAAAACATTTACAAAATATATCTGACAAGGGGTCATGTTCAACATATTTAAAGAGCTTAAGTGACTCAATATATTTTTGCTATTATGTATTTGCTATTGAGTTGTATGAGTTCTTTAAATATATATGTGATATATATACAGATGTCATATAGTTGATATATAAATGATACATACTTACATATATGTTATATTAAACACTTTTATGAAAAATATTTTGAGCACCATGAGTGTTTCAGTCTTGTAAGAAAATCATTGCCTTGGATAGAAAAACATACAAGTTGATGTGTGTTGGCCAGTTCCTGCATCGCTCAACTCCAATGTGGGTACACATTCCCGGACCCATTCTTGTGAGGTCATTCTCAATCACCTTTGCCTATGCCCTTTTGACAGAAGAGGCATTCCCTTTATTATAGAAATATTGTTAATTAGCCAACATAGAAGCCATGATTAAAATATGGCAGTGAGCCTATATGTGATTGCTATGGTCAGGAATATTTGAATAAACCCTAAAATGTCAATGAAAAATATTCAATTGTTTCTATGACTCTTTAGACAAGGAAACTCACTTCAGAAATGCAAGGAGAGATCACTGTGGAGCCCCCTGTATGCCAGAGACCACACATGACCTCCTTCTCAGAGGAAGGGGTCCATTGGACTAGACGATTAGAGGCTCTCTCTCAAGGGGGAGGAGGCCCAATGGACTATGAAGGAGGACTGTGGGTGACTTGGTGCTGGGTGGGATCATGTATTTCTGAAGCATATGCAGTCTTGTAAGCCAATGCTACCTCAATACAAATAAATAAATAAGCAACATATCACCCAAGGGTCAAAAATGGCACATCTGTATTGTTTTTCTCGCTTATCCCCAGAGAACTGAATCTCTCTGGGATTAAAGAGACAAAAAAAAAACCTGATTAATGAGGCTCATGGGAATCCAGCCTCTAAAGTCACAGAAATTTGGTGGAGTAAATAGACAAGAGAGAGTAAGGGGAAATTTAATGCTTTAAATTTAATGCACATACGGTGCCCTCTTAAGTCTGCTTTAATAATTACGGGTGAAAAGAAAGCACCACAGTGACATCCAAGGGTCATGAGTGGACCCATCTGCCTGACCTTCCTGGAGACAGAACTTCCCACTTCATCCATCAGCCAAGAAAGAATGTGGGTTAGTGAGTTCAGACTATTTCTTGACAACTTCTTTTATTTTTTTTCCAAAAATTTATTTATTTATACATACAAGATCTGGGGTACAAGCCAGAGGAGTGGAGGGGGAGAGGATTCACCAGAGACAGAGTAGGGGACAGAACAAGCAGATTGACTGAAATACATTGCTGAGGGGAGCAGCAGGTGAGTCAAGAGAGGTCTGCTGCGCCATGTGGGTAGCTCCCTGGCCGGGAATTGAACTTGTGCTGCAGTGGCTGCGGATAGCTTTGTAGGTTACATCTTAACCCCTTATGCCACCAGGGAGGCCCTGCTCCCTGACAGCTTCTGGGTGAGCACAGCATCTTCACGGGTGCTGGGGGATGTGGAATGGCACAACAGATTCTTTTTCAGTATTGACTTTGGTGGAGTAAATCGACAACAGCCAGTAAAGGTAAATTTAATGATATAAAATGTGCCAAATACCATCTGTGATTCTGGTAGGAGATGCTGAATATACTTAGATACCTTGGGTTTTTTTTTCTTTTTTTAATCAGTCTCCTCTGGTGTTGACTCTCAATTAAGAGACTTCCCTCCATCCATTAAAAACATTTCCTTACTGCTTCTCCTTTTTCCCACTGATGAAAATATTTAACATCCCATCTTTCACCCTTGTAGTTGATTTAAAAAAAATTGACTACTTAATGCATGGAAGGTAAGATATTACATATTTTCTCAAGGGAAACAGATTTAAACCAGGGGAAGGGTCATGGAAATAGTGACACGTTCCTCATAAGGCACTGAAATCCTGGTGTTGTGGATGCAAAAGAAGTTGACTCACCTTGGGGAGATTAGCTGAAGTCTTTACAGACAACCTTAAAATAATTATCAAGGACTGAGACTTGATGCAGATGTGGAATTATTCCTGTAAAAAATAAAAAAAAAGGTAAGGGGCAGCAGAGAAATAAATGTAGGACTTATTAAGTTATATAGAGATTATATTTATTAAAGATAGAGTAAGGTGTGCATAGGAAATGACAAGTAGTTCTTGTTATGTGAGAAATAATGAGGGCAGGGCATAAAGAGTTAAATATGAGTTGGACCAGGGAGGCAACAAGGCAGAGAACAGAGATGTATGTCTTGGTTATTGCATTGCTACTTAATTTTGCAATTAGTGGAGTTAGTGTAGGACGCGTAGCAAATGGGACTCCTGATCAGATCCACTGAAAGATCACCTAGCTCAGTGTGACCGACAGAGTGTTGCCTGTGTCCATGCCCTAGAGAGAGGAGTAGCAGAAATCACAGTCTAGGTTGGTGGGAGATGAGGAATGACTCTATGAGCAGTGGAGACTCTGTATGTGCAAAATTAGCTAATCAATGCTAGGCACAGGTGAGCCTTTTTACATTATTCTATTTAATTATTTTGATAAATCGATGGGTTTTTTGTTGTAATTCCTATTTTATGGATAAAGAGTGTGAGACTTACAGCTATGATGTTCATGTCCAAGGCATGCAGTGAATCTGGAGTTAAGCACAGGACCTGTTGTTTCCAAAGGGTTTAGATTCTAATATTATTAAAATATATTAAACATAGCAATAAATTGTTGGCGCCTTACCTCGTGGCATCAGGATACTCCCCCTTTCTGTGATTGGCTGTGCTTCTTTTGGCCCAGTGCGCATGACGACCTCCGGCGCACCAAATAAGGGCATGTGCCCTTCCGGGATTAGCTTCTTTTGGCCCAGTGCGCATGACGGCCTCTGGCGATCCGTATATGTGTTTGATCATTGGCTAGGCACTGTTGGCCTGCTTCTTCCGCTTCCGGTCCCCAGCTATAAAGCCCTGCCGAAACCGAAAGTAAACGAGACCTGCGATAGCTAAAGGAAGAGTGCACGTGTCTCCCTCCGTGGTGTACCCCTGTTCTTCAGGTCGCTGCTCTCCCCTCGAGAACCTCGTTGACCAGTCCGCGGGCTCGGACAATAAATTATTTAAAAGTTTTTAGGAATAAATTTTAAAATTTTCAGATAGTACAAAGTTTCCATAAAGTCCATACCCAGTTTAACCTACTGAATTTCTCCCAACCAGGATACACATTACATTTATCATATTTCTCCTTAGGCTTCGTTAGGCTGTCAAGTTCATTAAAATTCCCTTGTACAGTGAGAATGAAAAGATTTGAGAAATGGTCAGGCATTTTTGTAAAATGTCCCTGTAATTGGATTTGCCTAATGCTTTATTCAGAGTTTACTGAAATTATGGCTTTTGGGGAGAAGACAATAATCCACTAAAGCATTGTATTGTATCCTCCCTTAATATGATGTGTGCATGCTATCAATATGACTTATTACTGTTCACTGTGACATATATTACCTCACTGAATCTCTGTCAGATTTATTTATGGCATTTTTCCCCATTCAAACTGTGTTCTTTGTGAGGAAGTTATCATGTAAACCCACACTTCATGGAAAGGCAAATATTTCCACCTCTTTCAAAATGGAATATCTACATAAATTGGATTTCTTAGCCTGAGATTTGTCTCTATTTTGTATGCATTTATTTGATTATTTAATATTTTTTAGTTAATTGATTTACTATCTTTTGTTTATATAAGCAAGGAATCATGGATATTTTTATATCTTTTTTCAGTCAATTTTTATTTTATTTTTTTGTGCATCCCCTTATTTTGCTGTTCTTATTTCATTGCTCAAATTGTTCCAGTTCTGGGCCTTGGAAGTTCTTGCAGATACCTTCTGTGTCCCTTTGGTCTATTCTTATCATGCAGGGTTGTGTGCTTGTTGCTTTCTGGCACTGCAAGATGTCCCAGGCTCATCTGATATATCTCCTGGTCCAGACCTAGAAAAACTGCTTAAACAACAGTTCCTTGTCACTCCACATCTTCATCAAGCTGTATTGTTTTAATTAATATAATAACTATTGTTTACTTATTTGTTGATATTTTATTGTCACCTTACTAGACACTTAACCAGAAGAAAACCGTGTTAAGGATAATATTTTGAAAATTAATTTCACTGCCATTTCCAGTGCATTAAGCAATACTAGGGGAAAAACATTAAACAATTGTTGAACAACAACAACAAAAATGCCTTAGCATATTTATAGTCAAAATTTGCCTTAAAAAATGTTTGGATTAGATCTAAGGATCTAATATTTTCAGTATCTAGAGAGGTTGCAAAATTTATATATAATTAAAAAAAATTTAGATTGCAGACACTAGTCTCATGTACAATATTGAGTGATTTATTAATGAAATACGCTTAAATAAAGCCAGCTAATTTGTGTAAATTCAGTCATCAATGTCTATGTCTAAATTTATACAATTATTGTTTATATTCCAGCGATTTCATCAGCTACATGGAATCTGGAAACCAAACTCGTATATCAGAATTTATCCTACTGGGACTTTCAGAAGAAGCAGTGCTCCAGCCTCTCCTCTTTTGGTTGTTCCTGTCCATGTACCTGATTACACTCATTGGAAATCTTCTCATCATCCTGGCCATAATCACTGACTCCCACCTCCACACCCCCATGTATTTCTTTCTCTCCAACCTGTCTTTCACTGACATCTGTTTCACCTCTACCACTGTCCCAAAGATGCTGTTGAACATCCAGATGCAGAGCAAAGTCATAACCTATGAAGGCTGCATCTCCCAGATATACTTTTTCATAGTTTTTGGAGGATTAGACAACTTCCTCTTGACCGTGATGGCCTATGATAGGTTTGTGGCCATCTGCCACCCACTGCACTACATGGTCATCATGAACCCCAAGTTCTGTGGTGTCTTGCTTTTTGCCTCCTGGTTGTTGATTATTCTAGATTCTCTACTGCATACCTTAATGGTTTTACAACTGTCTTTTTGTACACAACTGGAAATCCCTCACTTCTTTTGTGAACTTAATCAGGTGATCCAACTTGCTTGTTCTGACACTTTCCTCAGTGAGTTAGTCCTGTACTTTACTACTGGAATTTTAGGTGGAATTCCAGTCAGTGCCATCTTCTTCTCTTACTCTAAGATTGTAACCTCCATTTTGAGAATCTCATCAGCTAGTGGCAAGTATAAAGCCTTTTCCACTTGTGGGTCTCACCTCTCAGTTGTCTCCTTGTTCTATGGCACAGCCTTTGGAGTTTATCTCAGTTCTGCTGCTACTGAAAACCCCAGAGACAGTGCAATAGCCTCGGTGATGTACACTGTGGTCACCCCCATGCTGAACCCTTTTATCTACAGTCTGAGAAACAAGGATATAAAGCAGGCCCTAGTTAAACTCTTCAGCTGAGAAACAGTCCTTGCATGGTAGTGTCCATTGTCTCAAGATTCCCTGCTCATGAGGAATAGGGCTCAAAGTCCTGAAAAACCTAAATCTTCATGCTTTTATTAGTTAATATGTACATGATCTGTGATGTACCTGATTTACCTTATATGCATAATTTAATCTTTCAGTTTTCCATACATTATAAAATTTATCTATATTTCCTTTACAATGTTAATCTGTGTTCATTGTAGAAAATAGAATGCATTGCATGAATTTTATACAGTAAAATATTAATATAAAAAACAGAGCATTTATATAGTTATTTCCTTCTCTTTCCTTTATAATTGAATGAAATGGAAGAATAAATATATACTGTTGTTCCTAGCAGACAAAAAAAAAAAAACAATTTCTGCATTACATGGGAAATAACATTTTGTAGTAAGTCTATGTGAGTACCCAGGTACTCGCCCCATTAATTCACTCCAGAAAATGTCACATCTGAAACTGGAATTGCCATCAGATTAAATTAACAATAATCCATAGTCATACTTCAAATTACCACTAATCTTTTTAACAGTAGAAACATAAGAGATGTCATAAAAATTACTATTTCTGGCCCTTTCAATATTTGTTATTATTACATGTTATTAATAATAATATTCTATTATTAATTTCTATGATTCTCCAAATTATGTATTATTGTTTTCTTTTAATATTTTGATAGGCATAATACTTTCAGGAGACATTTTCTACTATAATTGGCTTCACTCACAGGTTATAAATGTCTTATGCAATAATAGCAAGTTTAGGACAATGAATTTCTTTGGAGCAGGACACTATTGAATTTGGTTTTTTGATGGTAATAATTTTTTAATTAAATTTTTATTTTATTTTATATATTTTTACATCATTTTTCATTTTTGCACAATGTATGCATTTTTATCTTGGTTATAATCCCCACACAATTCCCACCCCCCTTATTTTGACCCTAATCCTTTCTCCCTTCCCCACCCTCCGTAGTGTGTCTCTGGTTTATAGTTGCTTGTTGATTTTGATTTTTACTTTATTATAATTAGTCTTTGAACTTCAACCAACTAGCTGAGAAAAGATGATGAATAACTTCCTTTGTTCAGATGGCACATGGAATCCAAAATTTCTAAAGTGTATCACATCAATATATTTGTTTTTCTCTAAAATTATTTACTTTTTCCATAGAGTCTGTCAGAATTCATTCTCATGTATATTTTTCAAGTTTTTATAATAGAAATTAGAAGAATCCTGCAATTATTTGATATTTGCCCATTTCCTCCTTCTTTCTAATTTGCATTTGTCTCTCTATCACACCCTCAGATATAACTTTCAATCTTGATGTGGAGGCAATAAGAGAGGGCAGAGAAGAGGCATAAGAACAGTGCGCTTTCTCTTGAAAGGTGAATATATTTTTAAATGAACTTATTACAGGATTAGACAAGGTGTTAAGTGCTTCATCAGATAGATCATAATGGTAACCTGGCGTAACACTGAAGCTTGTGTGTTCTTTGGTAAAATAGAGGATGCTGATTCCACAGAGTCTTCCAATTGTAGTCATTGTTTATTCTCTTTTCAAATAATGCCTTGATTTTTACATGAGATTTTTAGCAAAGATATTTCTCATAATTTACCACACTGTAATCAAAATCTTACTTTAATTTATATTCTACATAATTTCTTTATTGAGATCAGCGATTTAATTTATGCAGCACCAGAAATATCCCGGTCCATGGATTTTTCCCTGACCTAAAAATTCCCCTGTTGTTTTCTTTCTCTCTCTAACATGATCAAATGCTTCAGGCCACAACAAATTCCCTGAAAACTGATTTCTAACAGTCATGAGTCACACAGTCCAGTCACCTTCCAAATTGTCCTTCAATATGCAGTTCCTTTTAGGTATCTGAAGAAGAGACATTGTGAAATAGATTTTCCACTGCTAACCATGGGCCACCAGCATGTCCTCATGTAATGGAGACAGCAGCAGCAGCATCCTCAAACCAAATGAGATAAGCCATTAATTTCAGATGTCTCTTGGAAGGCCTGCTATCCTTTTCTATGTAGAACAGTCTATTTTTATGCTGTTTTTAAAAACAGAAATCACTATAAGTATTTGAAGCAGAAATTCGTAAGTATATGCTTACAAAATGTTTAATGGACTGATGTCCTTTGAATACTGAGAATGAACTTTGGCACTGGAAACCAGATTATCTAAGAAAGCTGACATTTCTGCTTCATCAGAAAAGTGATGGAATCAAGACCTTCCTGCGCTGAAATCATTGATTCCATAGACTCACTACATTTTCTGGAATCCAAGTAACAAGAAAACTCACCGTGAGTGTTGATGTAAGATTTACTCTGCTGCAAGATCTGTAGTTGTTGACCAATGGACATGAATGTCATTATTTTTAATTGTTGAATTTTACATTTAATTAATTTCATTTTAATTAAGGTGACATTAATTTTTTTAAACATATTGCTTTTTTTTAGATTTATTTTTATTTATTTATACAAGCACTGGGTACAGTCAGAAGCACGGGAGGGTGAGAGAATTCACCAGAGCCAGAGCAGGGAGCAGAGCATGCCGACTGAAGTACACTGCTGAGGGGAGCAGCGAGAGGCAGGAGAGGTCTGCGCGCCATGTGGAACCCTCCTGTGGTGGCCAGGGAGCAGCCGGGGATTGAACCGGCGCTGCAGAGGCTGAGGGTAGCTTTGCAACCCAGTGCTCAACCACTGCGCCACGAGGGAGGCTCGGTGACATTAATTTTTAAGACCCATGAAACTGCTGTCACGGAAAACTGTCTCCTCCAGGACTGCGATCAACATGGCAGTGAGGAAACGCCGCGAGTAAGACCTCCCATAAAAAAAATTAAAAGGGACGAAAAGCGGCAGGACCCTGTGAGAACTGGTACATGGAAGATAAATGGGCAACTCTGGCAAACTGCCCAAAGAAGAAAGGTGCCATAAAAGAGGACTAGAAGGGAGGAAAGCTCAGAACCCTGATACCCTACCCCACCCACAAAGTCAGCACTCTCCAACCAACAGAAAAATGGAAAAAAACAAAAAAACAAACAAACAAAAAAAAAAAAAAACAGCAAGAACAAACTACCCATCAAGTGGGACTGTGAATGGAAAGGAACTATTTCAGCCACTGCACCCTGTGAACTGGAACTGTGGAGAACCGTGCAGGAATTGCCACGGAGGTGAACGAATGACTCCAGGCGCCATTAGAGAAAACCAAAGACTCCCAGGAGACCTACAAATAGCCCAAGGCCAGCCTGTAAGCTTGTGGAGAAAAGCAGCATGCTTGAAAAGCATACACGGATCATGGCTGCCCAGGTCCCCCTGCCTGCAACCTAGGCTTGTGGGGAGACACACAGGAGCCCCCACTGAGGTGAATGTCCCTCATTGAGTAATCAGAAACCAGGCACCCGACACAGGAACAGGGTGCAAAAGGCACCATTTCTGTGGACACTGAATTGGGCTACAGCCCGGTCCTGGACCTGAGGGCTTTGGAACTGAGACACGGGGCATGAAATTCGGGGCATGAGAGCCCCATGAATGTGGGGCACAGGGTAGAAACAGCACCCCCACACCGTTGAGGCACTCCATGCCACTCCCACTATGTTCCCCCGACCCAAGGGGTAAAAAAACAGTTCCCAAAGGACACTAGGAAAGATCTCTGGCGCCACTAGCAACCAGAAAAAAATCACCAACACCCTACAGTTGGAAACCAGGGATCCCAAAAACACCCTCAGTCACTGAGAGAGAGTGGGCCACACAAACGGGGATAAGGAAGGAAATAAGGCATGGAGCAAAACCCCATCCTGGAACAGAGAGCTAGGCACAGGATTCAGGGCATAGGACACGCCATGGCAGCGGGCACTGCACAGGGTGACAGCCAGTGTTTTGGATCTGATAGCCCTGGAACTGAGACCTAGAGTGCAGAATTCAGGGCATGGGATCCATACAGCTGTGGGCACAACACAAGGTGAACATGGGGCAGACACAGTACCCGGCTTGAATAAAAGCCCCTGTGTTGAGGTGCTCCCCTCCACCCCACCTCCGCTACTCAGAGAACCACTGGGAAAAAGCACAGGTCAGCAAGTAGGGGATTCTGACGTCACTTCTTGACCAGAACTAAATCACCAACTAGCTGATTCCCTCTTGGAACTGAGTAAATACAGAGGGAGGGAACTGTAAGGGACAGATCCCAGCCACACAGCATAAACACCCTGGTGGAGTTTTGGCCTACCAGTTCTGGTCTCAGTCTGGTAAACAATTTTGGACACCCCTAAAGGAGCACTCCGAAGAGATGCCCACCAAGACCAGGAGCACAATGTCCCAATGCATAGAACTAATTAGGAAGCAAACAACAGGGAGAAGAAAAAATACAAATAACCAAGCAAGCCAGCAGGAGGACACATCACAAAAAGAAATACAGTCACCAGAGCTCAACAATGACATGGAGGAACTTCTCGGCCTATCAGGTAGAGAATTAATAATCATCCTGATAAAAAAGCAGAAAGAAAACGAAAAAGAAAAAAATGATCTGAGACAAATAATCACTGAACTTAAAAATGAAATTGAGACCTTAATAAAGGAAAGAAAAGAAATGCAGGAGATTAAGATTACTAGAGGAAATAAAGAATTCTGGGAAAAACAATGAAAACAGAATCAATGAAATGGAAGAATGGATCAGTACTATCAAAGATACAGAAATAAAAAGATCCAAAAGAGAAAAGGAGAGAGAAGTGCAAATGAAGCAGTATGAGGAGACTCTTAGACAATTATCAGACTCCATGAAGAGAGTAAATGTAAGAGTTATAGGCATTCCAGAAGGTGAGGAGAGAGACAAAGGAACTGAGAAATTATTCAAGGAGATAATTGAAAAAAACTTCCCAAGCCTGAAAAACGAATTGAATATAGACATACAAGAAGTGAGAACTCCCAATTACCATAATGAAAAGAAAACTACAGCAAGACACCTAACAGTA